TACACCAAAATTCTTTTGACGGAAAGGGTTGGTGAGTAGAAAGTTGAGAGATGGACTTGAAAAAAGAAGCACAAGTGAAGGTTCCATTGGGTCTAGGAGTYYAAACCCTCTTATCTGGCTTGGAGGGATCCAAACAAACCTGATTAAGACACCCAAGCAAAAAAGAAAGAGACTCAATATCATTTTTCATAACCATCTTTTTGCAAATACCTTAATTGTGGGAAAGATATCCTTGCTGTAAGTGGGAGAAATATTGAATAGGAGAATTTTATTATTGATCTATTTGATTTTCCAAGGAGTGCTGTTTACCCAAAGTCTTGAAGGATTTGAACAAGAAATAACGTGGATAGGTGAATACTTCTATTTCATACATAAATATGTTGCTTTAGGAAGGACGGTAGGAAGCACAGGTCTGTAGTAAAGTAGGGGGAGAAAAGAGAAGTCAGTCTGATTAGGAATTCGAGGGAACTACATTAATTAACATGGCAAGTTATCAAATACCAAGTCGTCAATGTTATGCAATCCATGCTGGATGCTTGGTGTTGTATGGCTTTGACTTGAAAAAAGGGAAATAAAGAAATGAAAGTAGAGTAAGCTTTCCTAGTTTTTTTTTTTTTTTTGATGAATTAAGCTTTCCTAGTTTGAGATTTGGTGAAGGACGTTAAAGCTGCAAAACCGTTGTTGACTTAATTGAAGTAGGTATTTTTTGATGATTCCCTAAAAGGGCCTAAAAAAATTCTCTGAAGTCAAGTCGATGGTGGAGATGAATATTTTAGAACTTCTCAATATACATCCGCTATTTTGGTTGTTTTGACAATCAAAAGCATCAGTTCAATCTAAATCTTTGTCCATACAGGAATGTTCATGTAAATAGATAAACCAATTTAGGAGTTGATGAATAGTCCTTTCTGATTTTTATTTAAACTTTCAATGGTGTCTACTTTCTTTTTTTTTGATCAAATGGTGTCTACTTTTTGGATGATGTGGTGATGCATTAAAATTCCAACTAAACTAGCACAAAGCATTATCTTTTCATATGGCTTCCTAATTCCTCTCTAAAGGTAATGCATAAGCCACATAAAAAAAAAAGACCTCTGCTTCCCTTCATTACATTTCTGACTTAATTTCACTGTTCAGTTATGTTTTTTTTTCCTTTTAATTCAAAGGCTCCAAACTTGCTTGATAAATTCGATTGATTGATTGATATGGCTGAGTTTAAGCTTAGTTTTGTTTAGCAAACTCTCCAGTAAGCAAGTCATGGATGTAATTACACAGTCAGCACTATTATTACAACAATCTTAAATAACATTTGCTTTGAGGTGTGCATAGGTCAGTTTTTTCTTGCTTGCTGAGTATATGGTTATTGCATTGTGTTTGTAGGCTATGATGTTTGGCTCTCCTGGAGGAATTAACCTGAAGCAGGAGCCAGGATGTTGATGGAAAACTCTAGTTTAGGTTCAGGATTTTTCTGGCCTGTGTAAGTACAAAAATTTTCTTCTGTAAATGCATAAAAGAAGCTAGTAGGAGTCCTTTTTCCTTCATGTACACACGTTACGCAACCAACATGTCGGTTCCATGAAGCAGAAATTTGTAGAGATCCCATTTTTGGATACTGAATCAAACATCGGGTAAATAAAAGGTCTATGCTGCTCATCTCGGGCTCACGGTAGTTTTTATCCAGGCCTTTTCTATCTTTCCTGTAAACTATTGATCCTGATTTTACTTCTTGTGTACTAAATTTATGAGTCAGGAGATATCCTCATTTGGTTCACTAGTACCCAGCTAATTCTACTACTTCCCTTAGCTTTTTAATATTTACTCTTTCGTGACATTACAAAAAGTCCTTTACTTTTTCTTTTTGATGCAGGCAAATTATATGTTTTGTTTTCGTTGCTTCTACTTTAGGATAAATTCATAAATATCTTGATTGGCAAAAGATTTGTCACATCTTTTATTGAATTTGAGTTGATTATGGGGCAATTGCAGTTTAATTTGAGAACTATGAGAGCAGGGCTGCCAGGAATACCGCTCGTGAAAGCAAAAAATCCAAAATGCATTTGTTGATGCAATAGTAACGTCCTCCTCTTGAGAGGGTAATTAGCAATGTCTGAAAACTGACGTGGAGGCTGACCTGCTTTTGCCTCCTGGTTGCAGGTCACTGGTTCAACCGTTCGGATTGAACAGTCAAAATGTTCCATGTCAGTATTCATTTTAATTTAGTTTTTTTTTAATATATAAAAAATATTAAAATTTACGATTTAAGACTAAAAAAGTGGGTTTTTTTCGTCAAAGTACCACTAGGGCAAGGCATGTGAGGAATGCAGAGGTAAGACCTTGGGATGCATAGATCTTGAAAAGTTACTTAAAATAAATAAAAAAATCATCCCAATTGCACATCGAAGTGCAAAGATATGGTTTTTGAAAGTTTACACATACATTGAATGTGCAATCTGTCACCCAGTGATTGGGTCAAATGAGTCAATGGTTGAACCGTTTTGGTTGAATAGTTTTTGATTAAGCCAGCGATTTTTGATCGAAGGGTGGCATTGGGTTAAAAACACTGGTTCAAAGTACTAATACTTGATGCAAAATCTAAGCGGAGTTTGCATTGATATACTCTTTTTCTTTTTTTAGTTTTTGTTTGGTTTGATAATTCAGTCAAAATCTTATAAAATATTCAAACTTATTTAAAAGTTACAATATTTGAACTCTTATAAAACAACATACTTAGGGCTGCAAATAAGTCAAATCAGATCCGATTTGAATCCATATTCTATCTAGTAAGAGGTGGATTCAAAGAGTCCAGATCTCCTGCCCACATAAGTTCTGTTCACGTTTACCCACACAACATCGTGGCCACACATGGAGAACATCTCATCCTCTTACATAGTGTTAAGCAGGGGGAGATGTTCCCAATTCATGGGAGTAGTCTATTATGGGTAGATGTGGGCAGAATTGCCGTGGGCAAGAGATCCAGAGTCGGATTCAAATACTCTCTTGATCCTAACCAATCGGATCGAATTGAAAAAGATATAATCCAAAACCCTAAATCTCTGATTGATTGTGGCCATTGGATTTGGGCTGTTATTTTCTCATTTCTGAGTTTCTCGTCTTTGACTCACTTCTTGAATCTTCACTGTGGCTCACTGCCCCGCACCCAACCACCCATTACACCACCAGTCCATCAGTCTATTACCACCAATCTATCCACCTCTTAGGGCTACGAATTGTAAGCCTCTTTCTTTCTAACCTTGTAGGCAGTAGCCATTATTGCTGTTAGGTTTCTTAGGGTAAGATTTTTTGAACCGAATCAGATAGACCCCTTAGCAAATTCATTTCCATTCATTTGCAGCTCTAATGGGGGTGGATGTATTATTTGTTTCTTTTTGTTTTGGTTCCATGGGGCTACACAACAGTAGGGGTGCAACTTGGGCGGGCTCAGTCCGAGCTAGAACCAGTCCAGTTTGGAATTTTACACGGGCTGGGTTTGGATTTTTGGTCCTTAGGCTGGGCTCGGGCCTAGCCCTTAGGTAGTTTGAACCCAGTCTGAGTCCGACCCAACTATATACATTTAAAATACATGTGTATATATATAAATGTTGCACACACACACACATATATTATATTTGTATATATATCATTTGTATACATATTTACATATATACATAAATATATGTATATATATTTGCATAAATATACGTTTATATGTGTATAATTTTCGAGTGGGTTCATTGACCGGCCTGAGCCTGACCTGGGTCCGAGCCCAACCCAAGTTTTATGACTGGGCCTATGTTTTCATAAACCCAGCCCAACCCACCCGACTTGCACCCCTACACAACAGGAGGTAACACATCCCCCAACCCCGGTGCAGGTGGGATTTGATCCCTAGTCTTCTCTACAACCAGCTAGGGACCTTACCAACTAGCCAGTTAACACCCTACAGAGGATTATATCGATATTTGTAGTCTTACTGGAAAAAAAACCTAGTTTTGCTTTGATCCTTGTATCTTCTGCTAATCCTTTTCTGCCAGTTTTGGATTGGCCAGTGATTGATACTGTGATCAATTAATCCACATTGAAACGGAGAAAGCCCGTTATGATTCTCATAGGATTGTTGGAAATGGTATTTCCGTATGCTCAATCAAAGCCAGATAAATATTGCATTTCATTTTCTTTTCTAATAAAATTAAGACTTTTTTTTTCTCTGAGACTTTTTTTTCTAATATTGCATTTCCATTCATGTCCTTAATGCTGTTGCCCCTACTAGGAAGGTGGTCCATTACTAACATAGAATTTTTGCTTAATTCTGTTGGGTCCATTCGGAGTATGGGAAAACCCACTATTTGTGTAGTTGGTGTTAGATTTGCAACCCATATGAAGGAGGTTAGGGCATCTGGTCACTATTTGATGTGATAAAATCTTGTTTTAAATTGCTGGAGCAGTCTTCTCTGTGGGCTAATTTCTTCTCTTTTCGATGCTTGAAGGATTCCCTTCTTGTGCTTGTTCAATATGGTTATCATGCAATCCAACTTTGGAAGGAGATTTTGCATGATGAAGGCCTAACTATTGCTCAGAGTCAATGAGTCATAGTTAAAGGGTGAAGTTGCATTCAGGTTTGATAATTGGGCATGTACTTTAGTAAGAGGGAAATTTAATTAAAAGAAAAGTAAGGCAGATAATCAATTCAGATCTCCTACCCACATCTCACTAATATCTTCTGTATTTGCATGTTACCATTCGTGGGTACATGTTCTCAATGTACAACTGTAGTGTCATGTGGATAGGTATGGATAGGAGATCTAAATTGGATACAAGCTCTGAAAATCAGCTCGTAAGAAGGGCTCGATTTACAAAGGAAAAGAAAAGCTGAACATCCAAGAAACGCCCATTTCAAGACGCAACTGCTTGGGAAAGAAGGTGAGACGTAGTATTTTCACTTCGCTTAAAATGAGGAAAGTCAACTTGAATAAACCTGATAGGCAGAAACTGTGTCTTCAACAATATTGAAAAGCCGAGAAATTGTATGCCTTCCTCGCACTTAATCATATCAATTGCGGAATTTGCATCGGACTCAGGCTGTTTGACAAGTTTTCTAGGTAGATTTTTCAACAGCCCAATAGATAAGAAGATACATTGAGCTTTTGAGGTCTTATCTTTAAATATTAAGATTGCTTGATTTGTGTCATGGTTAAAAACAATTGGGAAGGCTATTTTCAGTGCCAAAGAAATCAAAAACTTCATTTGAAGTTTCTTGACTTTCGTCCATGGTTTTTAAAACCGACCCGGTGACTGAACCGGTCAAGGGTCCAGTTATCGGGTCAAACGGTCCAACCGTTTGAACTGAATGCTCGACCCATTCTGACAAAAAAATAAAAATAAATAAAAAAACAGTTAAAACCGTTTGAACAGTTAACCACCCGGTTCAGCGGTTCATTGACCAAAATCAACGATTTTGGAGGAAAATCTAGTTTTTGGGGAAAAATGAAACCGATCAGGTGACCGGTTCTTGGTTTTTCCGGTCCGACCGTCCGGTCTGATCTGGTTTTGAAAACCATGCTTTCGTCTTTTTCAATCTTTTCGCACACTCATCTTTGTATCTTTCAACCTATGCGATACCAAATGAAAAAAAAACATTTTTTTATCTAAACTTTCCACAAACCAAAAGATGCACCAAACACCACCACAATCAATACCTGGTGATAAGATCTGCTAGCCTCCAAATAGCCCAGCCGAATGACTTAACGATGAGCACCAAGACTTTTCTGCCTTTGCTCGAATTGCCGTACCACTAGAGGACCTAATGTTACACGCCAAAGATGCAACTCCGGTCTGTTTGGTTCAATAGTGGTTGTCGAATCAATTCCATTAGCAAAGTGGTTAGTGGGAAATAACTATGGAATGTTCACTTTTCGGCTCCGTTGTTTTTTGGTAAGTTATTTATCCGGATAAATGCATTTACCCATGTTTTTTTATTTTCCAGGTAAATCATCCAACGACCATTTTAGCCATAAAATCCATTATTTAAAGAAGCACTTTTGTCCCATCCAAGTGTTGACAACTTTTCCCTAGGTGAAAAAATTGTTTACCCATATGGGAGAAAGGTACCCAAGAAAATAAACTTTTCTTGATCCTCACATAAATATAAAAAATGAACATGGGTTTCTCAAAATCCAAAAAGGGAACGCCCCCTTAAGAGAAACTACAAGGGGACTAACATCTTCTCTCCAAAATTTAAGAGCATTCAGAGCCATGGTTTTCAAAACCAGACCAGATCGGATGGTTGGATCGGAAAAACCGAGAACTAGTCAGGTGACTAGTTCCGTTTTCCCCAAAAACCGGATTTCCCCCAAAACCATTGATTTTGGTCAACGAACCGTTGCACTGGGCAATTAACCGTTCGAACGGTTTTGACCGTTTTTTATTTTTTGAATTTTTTGGAATTTCTTGTTAGAACAGGTTGAGCGTTTGATTCAAACAGTCAGACCATTCGACCCAATAACCAAACCCATGACCGGTTCGATCACCGGGTCGGTTTTAAAAACTATGTTCAGAGCAACTCATTTTTCCTCCACACCTAACTTTGCCCTTTTGTGCTCTAAAGGCTATAAGCCTGTTAACTTAAGTTCTCTCAATATTTGCATGCCTGAGTGTATCAAGGACTAAAATATTGACACGCCCGATACCCTCAAGTGGGTATTAGTGCATGTCGACATGGCTGAGACCCCTTGCTTTTTTATTTGTTTTACTCTTGCCTTAATTTTATAGATATTTGAGGGTCCCATCTGGTTTGGAGTTCCAAATATTTTAAAAAAATCCATGTCTATCTGCATGCCTGGATATGGATGTATTGAGGATGGGATTGGACCAAATCCAGTCCAATTGACACCCCTAGGGCCAGGCTAACCTGTATTATTTCATTTTCAAAATTTCTTTCTTTTTTATGTATTCACTACATAAAATCAAAAACTCAAAAACTTATAAAAATTAATAAAAAAATGGCAAATTCAATGAAATAATCAATTCATACAATAAAAATATAAAATGATTAAATGAAATTGAAAAGTCATTATAATAAAATTGAAAATAAAAAATTATAATGGAATTAAAAAAATTTACAAATAACTTACAAGGTACATATAAGATTGAAACTTCAAAATTTACAATAATTTAAAAGCTATTCTTCAAGTCCCACTTTCATCTTCCTCTGGTGATACATTGGATGACATGCATGTCATGTCCTCCATTATCTTGTAGTCTATCTTTTTCATTCAACTAACCTTTTAGACAAATTTACATCTCCAATCTTCGCATCTGTCATCCGATTCCTCTTCGCATCTAGCATCTTGTTTCTTGTACTAAATAAAAATCCATTGCTATTGTAGACACCTAAGGGGTTACTAGATCATGTGCCATAGTGACAAGTATATGATAACTATTTTTCTATACTTTCCACCGGGTTAAAGTATCACATTTCCTATGTGGGACATCTAAAATTTTGATACATGTCTTTTCAAATGGCTAATGCCAACATTACTTTGATAACAAAAAGCACTTTTACATTTATTGCAAACTTCTCTTATGCCCTTTTCCTCTACATCTTTGATGGTAAAATATTTCCAAACATCGTTCATCGTTGGTTTTCTTTTACCTTATAATTACTAGGGCCTCGGGGTAGCATCAATTTGGGTTTGAGAGGAATTAGTCATTTTAATAAATATTAAAGTCTAAAATATATAAAAAAAAATCCAACTAACCTGTAATTGCATTTCAGTCCTTCGAGTCCAGCTTACCGGTTTAGCATTTCAAATTGAATGCCAAATTTTTAAGTTTTCAAATTTCTAAACATCGTTCATCGTTGGTTTTCTTTCTTGGTACCTTATAATTACTAGGGATAGCGTCAATTTGGGTTTGAGAGGAATTAGCCATTTTAATAAATATTAAAGTTTAAAATTTATAAAAAAATTCCAACTAACCTGTAATTGCATTTCAGTCCTTCGAGTCCAGTTTACCGGTTTAGCATTTCAACTTGAATGCCAAATTTTTAAGTTTTCAAAATTCCAACTTCAACTTGAGACACTCGATTGCCTTCTTCTTGTTAAAATTAATAAAAATAAATAAATAAAAAATTGAGAGTATAAGAGTAGAGTAGTATGAGAGATTGAGAGTAGTAGAGTATGAGAAATTGTATTTGGTGGTTGTTGTGATGCAAATGAGTAAGGGTTAGGTATTTATAATGGTTAGAAATAATTGAATTGACCAAGAAAACCCTCCTAAACTAGTCACTTATAATTGTTGAGAGGGATATTTTAATCATTTACAAAGTTTATTTATCACTTTACTTGAAATGCCCTCTATAAACTAACTTCTCATAACTGCTAGGGGGCATTTTAGTCATTTTCCTACTCCATTTGGTAAACCCCCAAAATAATCGTTTATAACTGCTGAGGGTATTTTTGTTATTATACCCACATATAGCCATTTTCTAGTTGTTATAGTTTAGGTCGTCGGGCCAGGCCATGTTGTGCCATGTTGCGGCCCACAAGCCCTTGACCCAGCCCAGCCCCAAGGGTTGTGCCTGCCTGGCACAGCCTAAGTTGTGTCGGGCTGTGCTGGCCCACGGGTAGCCCGACCCATTTTACACCTGTACTGTTTACCTGAAATTTTTTCAAAAGTATAATGATGGCACAAAACATTGTACAACCCATTAGTGTAATGGGTTGAGGGGGTCAAGGGAATATGAGGGATGGGCTACCCCCGTTGTGTAGAAAAAAAAGGAAAAAATAACATGATAATTGATCGGTTGAGATCTTTCAATGTCAATAACATAAAAATGTGTGGATCGTTTCATCGATCTACACGTGTACATTCTATCATTTTATGTACTCATTATTGGCTAATGATTGGTGAGCAAGGTTTCGTCACGTCAGGATTCATCCCACCTTGAGCTAAGATTTTTTGAGGTGGATTGAACAATAAAAACCCCTTTCAGTAGTTAACTGAGATGCATTACCAAACAAAATAGTTATTTATGAGAACTTTTATATAATATAATATTGTTTAATTGTAATTTCAATTACAATTTTTTTGGAAGAATTAAAATTACAATAAAACATAATTAAAATAAATAAGTATTATATTATATTAGTATGTACTTAATTTACTACTTAGTCAAATTAAATATTAGTGTTACATTAATTAATAATTAACACAAATAAAAAATGAAAATACATTAACATATTTATTAATATCATAAATTAACTAAGGTTACAATAACTAATATAAATAAATCAAGTTATATTATTACTTAATTAATAAGAAAATTAATAATTACAACTAATTAATATTAAAATGTGAATTAACAAAAAAATATTTTAAAATAATAAAAACAATCAGAATAATGTAAAATAATAAAAAGTAATAAAATTTTAAAATCAATTTTATAAATTTAAATTTCATTTAAAATAACAAAATAATAAAAACTAATTGATAAGGGCGGATTTGGCTTTCCAATGACATTATGACACCTAGCACCTCATGACAATTAGACAGCTCAGCACCTGGTCAACCCAACACCTCACAGGCAGCTCGGCACCTGGTCAGCCCAGCACCTCACAGGCAACCTGACACTTCACAGACAACTCGACACATGGTCAGCCTAGCACCTCACAGGCAGCTCGGCACTTCACAAGCAGCTCGCCACCATGCAACACTTACAGGCAGCTCGCCACCATGCAACCTGACACCTTACAGACAGCTCACTTCCTAGTCAGACTGACCACCGTGTGACAACCCCGAGGAGCTCACCACCGTACCTCGCGTTTCACGGGATTGTGACTTGTAATGACTATATTAGCTCACCCACTCCCCGAGTCAAGCGGAAATGGGCAACCTTACCAGTTGGTGGCATTATCCCCACCTAACACGAAAGCAAGTCCCATCACAGTGCCTACTCTTTATCTCTCTCATTCTCAACTCACTACTAAGTGCTGACTTAGCCATTGGAGTGACCCTCGCCGGGTAAACACTCACAGGTTCTCTGATTCAGTTCTTGCAGGATTCTCAGCTCCCGCCGTCTACAAAGATGAGCAGATCGTCTCCAACAGGGAGTAGTCGGTTCAGTTCCCGTCGTTGCTGGTAGCCAGATCATCTCCTACAGGGAGCAGTTAGGTTGCGCTACGCTAGGGAGCTCTACTTCAGCCTCCGAATCATCGGCCACTTGGAAGCAGACGAGGTGACGAGGTACTTAGCCAAAAAAAAATGATACGTGATTAGAAACCGTTACATCACTAATAAAATTCAATTTAAGCTCCAATTATAATTAATAAAAAAGTTAATATAAATTTATCTAATATGGTTTGACTATGATGCCGAAAAGCCATGATACCGGAAAAACTTACGACCAATCAATTGTGATCATGAAGGTGGTACCAATCAGATGGGTTTTTATCAAAATTCATGTGAGATTGTGAATGGTCAAAGCCATTCCAATATCATAGTCCTTTTGGCATCATATGTTTTCCCCATAATAATAAAGTTTAATACAAAATTATCTAACAATACATAATCCAAAAATAATGCTTGAGTTGGACTAGTTGATTTGGCTTGCTTTGTTAGAAATGTCATTAAGATTCTTTCTACCTTAATTTCGTTTAACAAAACCCGTATATTGCGAGTCAACAAGTGAAACACAACACTTGTGTGGGCCCCATGGATTCAGGCCTTCGTGTGTGCAGCCGATCCCGTTGCGTCCAATTAAGGTGATCCAGTGGAGACTGTGATCTTGAATGTTTGACCATTTTAATGCTATTCTTTCAAATAATTTCAAAGGGAATGCATTAACATAATCATATTCTGGATAGAATATCGCCGAGGGCAGCAACGATGTTTTCATAACACTCCTGTGCTTGTGCTATGTCCTTACTCCTTGCCGCATAATCTAGCTGCAACAGAAGATAAAAAGGAAGAGTTAATAATCATGGGAGAAAGGGTAATGGGTTAATTTCGTGGCAATATGATGCCCAAGGTGAGATCGGATATGCTCATCACAAAGTGCATCGTAGCCATGCATTGAGAACATCTCTCGTATTTGATATTATCATTCATGGGAAGATGTTCTCAATGCATGGCTGCGATGCGCAGTGAGGTCAATGTAAGGAGTGCTCTGTAATGAATAAATTTCCAATTCGCCGAAGGTCACCTAAAATATAAGTCTTGTTGGGGAGAGAAATACAATGCTTATTTATAGAGAATTAATTTTGATTTTTTTTTTTTGATTCCAAGTATCAACTTTAGATTCGGATCATGAAAATTGCTGTAACTAAGGCTTCTTGTGGGCTCGAAACTTATTCTAAAACTTAATTCTATGGAACTAAAAGAATTAGCTTAAAAAATTATTCATTTTTTGTTCAAATTTCATTTTTTAAATAATGTTTATATGGAATATAATTTTAACCAAACACATGTCTGGTAGTCATGCCATTTGTGCACTTGTATGGGGTTTTTAGGGACTTAGGGTACCAATTTCGACTAGGGGTGATGATGAGCCAGGCCCAGGCTTAGCACGAATTGATAAATAAGGGCCTGTCCTGGACCGCTGGCTAAAATATAAGCCCAGGCCCAGGTTTGCGTGGGTTTGGGCCAAACCGGGCTAAGCTATGAGCCTATGGCATCAAATAATAAAACTTAATTATTTATAAAATTTTATATTATATGATGTATAATACATGAAAAAATATTGCATGGGCCCAAGTTCGTCTAAGCTTGGTTTGGTTTTCAGGATAGAAAAAAAAAAAAAAAGGTTATGGGCTTTAACACATGATTGTCTATCCTTATATAGATTAAGGCAAAGGCTTCGTTTTAAGTTTTCACTCCTAAGCAACGTGTAGGCCTTGCCTTCACTTAACCTCTTAAAACGATTACAAAATGTTAAAATGCATGGCCCAGGGTTCTTTACACTAAAAGAAAAAAATGCCCCTAACAGCTCTCATATCAACCCTTTGAGAAACAAAACTTGGGGACAAAATCAACATATTGTTTTTATTTTTTATTTCCTTTTTTGATTAATTTGGTTTAAATGGACATTAGGGTCAAAAATGTCATTTCCTACTCCCATGTGAAACTATAGGAGGTGTATATGTAAATGACACTTTCTTTATAACACATTAATTAGGTTCTATCAAGGTTTTTAAAACTGAATCGGACAATGAATCGGTCAGGGGCCCGATTCCTGGGTCAAACGGTCCGATCATTGGAACCGAACAGATGGCCTGTTCTGATAAAAAAAATAAAAAATAAAAACTGGTCAAACCATTGAATGGTTCGAATGGTTCTAGTCTTTCCCATGTTTAGTTTGAAAGAGGAATATATAAGAGAAACAGAAAGCTGAGGGAAAGTTACAAATAAAATTTGTGAAATTTGTTAAGAATTTTCTGTCTATGGAACCAAACTTTGCATTGGTTTTTTGTTGGTGAAGAGACAAACATTGCGTTAATGAATCCATAAGACTTACTCTTGTAACATTATTGAAGAGAAGAGAATAGAGCTTCCTGAGCTGGGGCCTCTCGATCCCTGGTTTTGCTTGGATTATCGTGTAGATATCTTGTTTCAAGTATGACGAACTCTTCCGGAGTGCTTTCTGTGCTTCTCCCCATGACTCGATAGCTATCAGATCTTTCACATCTAATAGGTCTTGGGCGTGAGCTCTGATCGTACTCTCTGCTTCCTCAAGAGTTTGATCAGGAGCCGTGATTCTAAAATCAAAACTGTATGCAACATTTGGACAGAAAATTGCCTCTCTTGCTAACAGAACTACTGTGGCCAGACCTGCCGCTGTTGCTTTTCTCCTACGAATGTTCTGGGTTTGGAGGAGGTTTTGAGGAATGCTGCTAAATTTAGAGGATGATTTTGGGCAGCGAGTTGAGTTTGTAGAGAGGAAGTTCTGGTAGGATTGTGAGAGCACTAGTGATAATGCCATCATTTTACGGTACTTCAAATTGATTTTGAAATGTGACTTTGTGGTTATAATGTGTTTGGTTGGGTGTGTGACTGGATAAGGTTTCTTTTTTATTTATTGCGCCTTCTTGCCTTTGTTTTTTTTTAAAAGAAGAGAGATTGCCTTAGGTACAAGAATCGGATTTGCTCCTCACAAAATAGTCCTTACACCCACACCTCACAGCACGCTGCAGTCCCACATCCGAACATTTCTTCTATTATACCTGTATGTTTTCATTCATGATAAATGTTCTCAATGCATAGTTGCAAGTGGTGTGAGGTGGGTGTGGTGACGAAGGTTTCATGGGGCTGGGGAGGAAGTTCGGATTCTGTTCATGGACAGTGTTAAGCAACATGTAGATAGAAGACGGTTCCTTATAGTTATAAAGTGGGCTGTTCCACTCATGGGCTGGAAGGACCAGACCCAACATGGGCTGAGCAACTGGGCCATGCTACGGCCTGGTGGTTCATACCCTTGGGCTGTGTCGGGCTTGGGTTTTACAGAAACACCCCAAAAGTTATAAACAACTAGTTTGGGGGTATTTGTGCATTTTAGCTTTAGGGGCAAAAATGATTTAAATGCCCCCAATAACTATATAATAGCTAATTTGGGGGGCATCTTAGTAAAGTGATAATTAACTTTATGAAAGACCAAAATACCCCTCCTAAAAACTATAAAATGGCTACTTTTTAAGGGTATTTTGGTTAGTTAAATCATTTCTAACTACTATATAGATACCCCTACCCTTCCCCATTCTCATCACACAAATTCTCATACTCTCATATTTTCATATACTCGCACTCTCTAACTCTCACAATCTCTCTCATACTCTCTCATATACTCTTTCTTGCTCCATAGTTCCTAATTCTCAACTTTATTCAAGTTTCAATAAAAAGAAAACCTGCTCAAGTGTATCAAGTTTACAATTTGGGAGGCTTAGAAGCTTCATCAATTGAAATCAAGTTGAGATACCAAATTGAAAAACTGTGTAAGTGATAATTAATTTTCATATTTTAAGGTTTAATATTTAAAATTTATTAAAATGGTTGGATTCTTTAGCAATCATTTTCCCTACAACTTTGATGATGTCCAGTCATAGTATGATAGCCCTGATATGGGTGTTAGTGGTATAGTTAAGAAAACCACCCCTACTGCTACTATTTCTAGGGGTGGCAAGAGAAAGACTAGTATCAGAAAAATGTTTTAAATAGAAGATGTTCAAGGAAAGGAAAAGAGAGCAGTTTGCATGAGATGCAAACGCGATTTTAGTTATAGTAGCCAAGGTTCAAAATATCGTTACATATCGGCTGATATGTATCATATCGGGGCCTTCCCGACATGCCCCTACAGGGGGTGTATTGGGTCAGGCCATGGTTCAGAGGGTAGCCGGGACTTAAATCGACCCCTCTAAACCATTTTTGAAAAAAAAATAAATAAATGACAAAAAAAACATCGATACATGCATATCGGCCTGGTGTTGATATTTAGAACCTTGATAGTACCAAAGGAAGCAATGACCATTTGGCTAGACACATGGTTAGTCATTTAAAAAACAATAAAGATGGAACTCAAACACAAATTGGGTGTGGGGTTTTTGGTAATTTTGAATATTCACAAGAAAAATGAGATAAGAATTAACAAAATATATTGTATATGTTGAACAACCATTTTTATTAGCTAAAGAACTTAGGCTTGAAAATTTTTTACAAGAATCTATAAATCCCTAATTTCAAAAGAGTTTCTAGAAATACTATTAAAACATATGTTCTAAAAATTTTTCATTCATACAAACAAGATTACATTTTTATTTTATCAAACCTTAATTCTAGAATTGCCCTTCATTTGATTTTTGGACTTCAAAATATAATATTAGTTATATTTGTGTAATGGGACATTTTATTGATGATTCTTGCCTTGTACAAAAGAAAATTTTAAGTTTTACAAGATTTAAATGCCACGTATTGGCTTAGCAATTGGTGTAAGTATTTTTTTGTCAAAAAATTTATTTCAAAAGAGGCTCAAAACAAACAACAAGCTATAAACGAGGAAACAAAACATCAAATGAAGCACAAAGAAAGGCCTAAGGCAGTCATGATAAGGGTCAGATATATAGATTCCATCAATAGAACCCACAGAATTTCAAGAGAAATTGTGAGCCATGCTATTTTGCTCCGAAGGGATAAAGGAAAAGGAAATATCATTAAAGTGGTGTGCAACTGAATCAATGTCTTTAAAAATCGTGTCTAATGGATCGAAAGGGATTTGATGAGGAGATAAATCTTGGATTACTTGCTTTGCATCAGATTAGAATATTAAGGAATTGATACCAGCTTTGGCTACTAAGAGGACACCACTTTTAATGGTTCTAAGCTCAGCCTCATAGGGAAAGCCACAATAATCTAGGGAAATTTATGCCATAACTAATCTCAAAGGAGGGGCCACCAACACACAAGCTAGTGTTGCTAACATGGGAGAACCTAGGCTGAAAGCTCACATCACAAAAGACTGATGGGGAATTTAAAACCTGAGACTAGGGTTGCGGTGTGGGCAAATCTAGACATTGAGTGAGGGAGAGCTTCCTTAGCTTCCTTGTACTCTTCGAATGAGAATAAAGTCAAGGAAAATGATTTCCATGAGGTCCAGTGTAGATTCTTGGAAGCAAGGTTCTAAATATCAATACAGGCCGATATGTTGGTAGGGTGTATCAGTTTGTATCGATGCTTTTTTGTGTTTTATTTATTTATTTTTTCAAAATCGATTCAGAGGGATCAATTTAAGTCTTGTCTATCCTCCGAATCATGGCCTGACCCGATACACTCCCTATAGGGGCGTATTGAAAAGGCTCCAATATGTTACGTATCGACCAATACGGACCAATATGTAATGATATTTTAAACCTTACTTAGAAGACGACTTTGTTGTGGGCCTTCCAGATTAGCCATTGCATCGAAGCAAAGGAAGCAACCATCATATACTTTCTTTTAGACAGTGCCATTCTATAGATAACTAGGTTGGAATACATTCATCAATGAACAAAAGCATTTTACTCCCCAGATCTGAAATTGAATGGGCTAGCCAACCATGCTGCTCTAGAGAACGAGCATTTTAGAAAGAGATGGATAACATCCTCTTTTACAGCACTACAGAAAGGACAACTTGGATCGAAATCAATTTGCATATGCATAAGATTATTCTTTACAACAATTGCATTTAGGTAGACTGTCTAGATAAAATAATTTTTTTTTTTTTTTTTCCTCTAAGGA